TGTTGATGCAGAGAAATGCAAAACAACAATTTCGCCCCCTCTTTGGGCCTGAACTCATCCTAAGTGGAGTGTACATTAAAATAACCGGCTAGTCCTAACAGTAATGACACATCCTCCATGTTTGCCACCACAGCTGAAGTCTGATTTAGATATCTTTACCGCCAAAGCCATCTCTGCGCAGGAAAGTCACTGGCCCTGAGAAAGATTCATCTGAATGTAGTAACAACAATACGACGAACAAGTTCTGCACCACTGAATTCAATGAGGTGGAGGAATTCTCTGAGTTCGGCAGCCATACGGGGAATAAACTGGTCAGCAGACCCGCGTAGATGCAAAGAAACCTCTCGAAAAATTAATGGGTGGTGATTTTCAGAAAACCCCAATTGTTCCCCCATACACACAACATTGTAAACCACATATGCAGATACATTTTACATATTCAGTTATCCACGACCATGAACTCTGGTAGAAAGCAATCACTAAAAATCTGATGCAAAGGCATACACTGTTTAAAGTATTTAACTTAGTAGACTGATGTTTTTAAGTCTGAAGTCAAGTTTTGATCACCATTTGTGCAATTTCGTCTGTTATATTTGGATGCATATTGATGACTCATATAACTTGACGAAGTTTTCAAAGACAAGGTGCGTCCTTTATCTATATACACCTTTGTTATTTTAATCCTGATTTATTTCCCTGAAGAAATTTGAAACAGCCTGCTGAACGAAATGTTAGAACTACTTACTTCAATTTCGCTTAGATTTTACAAGTGTAAATTTTACCCATGCTCACTTCTCACTCGGCACCCAATTTTTATGGGACTATTCGGCAAAATCTTGATCACAGTTCAAATAAATTATGCAATATTAGGTAATCTGTTTTCACACTCTTCATCGTTAAGTACTAATTCCAAAATAATTTCAGAGGGCTCGGTCCCCAACACTTCAACGAAATTCTTGCCTTTGGCAATCGCCACGGATGGAAGCAACGTGTCTGGACACCTGCCCGTGGTGAAGGTATTTGAACCGCATGTTCTAGCATGTAATGATCACTGTTGTCAATTTAGTTGAAGATTGAACGATCAATTCATGGTTGTTTGCTCAAACCCAACTTCCCTATATTTTCGTGGAGACATCGATACACCAGTCATCGTCTCATTGGTCGCTGTTCAGAAAGAAGTCAGGCCAAAACTGTCAGAAGTAATATTGTGATTTATTATTGTAATATTTGTTCATAGACCTTAGTTAAAACTTAATTTAAAGTTGCCTATATGTTGGTGTTACAATAAAGAATTCTCGAGTAGCCAATCGGTGTTTTGGTTTTGCGTCCGTTATTACTAAGCGTTTCTGAGAAACATCAAGGAACAGCATGAGTCCCAGCGTAGCAAGAGCTGGGCATTAACGGTTTACGAGACGTGGCTGACACCTGTCTTCACCGGTACCGGTAGTAGGTTTCCAAGTAGCCGACATGAAATGGTACTCTGCTCTCTTCACATGTCATCAATAAATACAGGAAACTTGATATGTCATAATTACAAGCATATAGATTAGGGAATAGTCCAAGAACTCATTTAATGCTCGCAGTGGAACAACTATTTCACGACTGACACCCCGAAGACTACAGTTTCGCTTTTATAAGAATGTTACTTTGTGCGTAGGTACCGTAGCTCCTAAGAAGATAGTAAAATTACAGAAACACCAAGCTAAGTAAATTCCAAGGGCGAATTGCTATAAGTTTAGTAAATTGTCGAAACGATGCTAGTCCACTAAGCATGTGAGCGAATGAATGATAATAGCTTTATTCTAAAACAGTACTTGTGATACAGAATGGAATTCTCAACATTTTACTACAATATTGCATCCTGTTAGTACATTAACAGTAAATAAAGTTGTACATAGATTAAGGTAATCTCAATTACTTTTTGACAACAACATATTAGCATGTCGGTAGCAAAGCCAAAATTAAGCAGAGTGTTAGGTGTTTAGAAAAGTAGGTTCTAGCATATTTACTGGCGTAAACAGAAGAAAGAAACAAAGCTGCACATAACAGAAAAAAGAGAAAGAAAAGGAAAAGAAAGAAAGAAAAATCGTTGTACCCATAAATGATATGAGTTGGAAAGACGAGATCCAGTTGTTCTACTGACTGTTTAATAAGTTAAAGGTTTTGCGCCTAATGCTTTCTTTATCGCACAGAACACGAGCTAAGTATTGTATGGATGAGTTTTTGTACTTACTAGTGCGAGCATATAGTTTTCTATATAGGCTTCTGGTTTTGCCTGAAGAGATACAAGAGGAGAGTTGTGAATGAAGAGGGTGTTGTGAGTCAGATAAAATGGATTTCGCCCATTTTTCACATATATGCCCAAATACTATCACCTCACCTAATCTACCAGTCACCTAAATTTATCAAGTACTTACGCTTTCAAAACGACCTGGACGAAGAGCCAAGCCCACTTAGAAGTATTTCCGAAACCTATAATTTAAAGGCACCTCTTAAAATTCCAATACGGTCGATAAGGAACAGCCTTTACTTACTTCACAACCAAGCTGTCTAACACAATCCTGCCATCATCCGTGAACTTTACAGTGAGTGGTTGGTGAATTTCAGTTTAGAAAACAGTACCTTTAAAAAAACTGCACCTCTTACCGACTCCTCTCTCAGAAGCGCAATGTGCGACTTATCCTTATGAGTGGAAAATTGGCTTTATAATTCCTCACTACTAGCATGGTGGTAGAACTCGCATTCTGAATTTTAAAAACCCACATATCTTGTTGCTCACGGAGAAAGTTTTCAGTGATCAGTTTTCAGATTATCTACTTAGGGAAGATCTCATAACAAAGTCTCAATACGGATTTCTCGAAAACACATCTTTTGTTGCTTGTCACTTTAACTTTTTCAACTGAAATATTAGCGGTCGAGAAGCACGTGAACTAGTCACTGTTCTTCACGTCGAAATATATAGGGCGTTTGTCATGGTATCTCACGGTATTCTCTTCGAGAAGATGTACTTTTGTAGATTTCGAAATCCATTACTTAATGGTTAAAGTTATTTCTATGCCACGGGGTACAAATGACCAAAGTAAAATCAGTATCTTCTCATCCTGGGGATACCACAAGTCGGGTTGTGCAAGGCAGTGCACTAGGACCACTTGTACTTATGGTCTACTCAGATAGTAATTGTGGTCACTTTTCCTCAGGTCGCTTTTTCCTATATGCCGATGGCCCTAAAATCGTTTCCTCCTGCGGTAGTCATGACATAAACTATTTGATGACAATATTCATCTTGTACTAGGTGATTTCACATACTGATGTGCAAAGTCCCGTTAGAAATTTAAAAGTGACAAATGCATCCGGATTCACATTAGCAACAGTGACCTCAAGTAAAATGTTGAAGTAAGTAGGCAAAACCATCAAAATTCAACGCAGTCATAAAAATCTCGGTATAAATGTTCCATTAATTTAATGTTTTCCAGATAAACTGGTTGAAATAGATGCGAACAAGCAGACTTCTAGTTAAATCACTCGCAATCCATTTGTTGTGAAATAACAGTTTTATCCACAAAGTATGCATTAAACATTTTTCAGAATACCATCCATTTGTTCTTAGCGCACTCCGTTTAAATGAAAAACTTAGAAGGGTAGAAGTGCAACGAGGATCCTTCCAGAAGTCTTGGATCAGGGTGTGATCCAGGCTATACTGGGCGTCTCAATAGAGTGAAGGCAAAACACCTCTGTAAAAGACGGCTTAAGCTAAACCTAATAAGCTACCCAACATTCTCTTGCACTCATTCGGGCCAATAAATATATCCACCTCTGCTGTCATTTGCAATCTTAGAAGTAATGAAAGCGTAGTTGTTAGAAAGCTTTCCCAGATTTACATGAGACCCAACTTAAATAATATTTCGGGTGTTTAGAAAAGACCACCAGCTAATTTGCGTAACACAAACATACTCCCAGTATTCGTCTCGGTCTACAGGCTCCTCAAAATGACATTTTTCTCTTCTGTCTAACTCTTACACCTTTTACACTCCACAGAGTGTCACAAACTCCACTAACAAATGTTGATATCATTGGAAGAACATACGAAACATTTTAGAGACAGGACGTAGACTTTGCATCATACAGGCATTATAAAAGTAAGCATAAAATAACCAGTTAGTAAGTAGACAGAAATCATGTCCCTACATAAAACGAATGTATGCGTATATTTACAAGTTAATCCTCGAGGACCCCTCGTTCTTTTTTCTACCCTGCTGTCCTTTGACTCCTTTCCTCACCATTTTAGCTAGTATTTGATTTTCTTGACGATGATAATGAAAGTAAATATCTGGCGACTTACAATAGTAATCTCAAAATACCTGAAAACTTTATCGGTATCGAGCCATATAAATGCTTCACAGACAACTTCATGTTTTCTCTTTGGCATATTCTCAAGGCCAATTGTGGAATATTTCCTTCATGTCAATAGTCAGATCCCAACCATTACGTCTACAGCGCCAATAAGCCTTGTAATTTAAGAAATGATGAGAATGCCCTGGTGGTTGCATTTATAATCTCACTGACCCATATGACGGTAATCTTCAGCTCCTGCATGCTTCACTTGCAATTTTATATGGATTATTTTGCCATTATTCTGGCTCCCGACAGCGTATGGACTGAAATTACCTGCTGCTGTTTACTGTTGAAGTAATAATACTTCTTTGCACGTTTAAGTGCATACTAACTGCTGTAGTGAGCCGCCCACAGCTAACATTACATCAGGCAGTGTTATCGGCACAATAATTAATGTTTTACATGGACGTTTCTACTATATTATGAATAATCCACCATTTTCTCTATTGGTGACGTGACCTTCAATTACTGAGTGTCTTTAGTTGAAATATAAGTGGATAAAATTGTAGGTGTATGCCAGGTTAAGAACTTTATAATCATAAATTAGTTAACTGTCGTTAGGGTAGTATGTATATAATTCCTGTATTACTTTCTTCATGTCTTTACAGTTGAAGATCCATCACCTAACTTCCAAAGTATAAGAGACTTTTTGGATTGCAAACGCTGTCTTGAAACTCCGGAAGTAATACAAACTATCTCACACCTTAATAAAATCAAAAATGAACAAGGTAATAATGAAAAATCGTCTGCAATACGCTTCCGAGAATTGGCAAGAACAAAGCTGAAGTTAAATCGTTACCAGAGTCGAAGAGTATATGAGATTCTTCGACTGTTTTTGTTACCTCGCTCACCAGAATGTGTAAAATCCTTTTCTGATGCACTAGCTAAACGCACTGCAGCTCATTTCCAGGTATTTTATACTCTTGTTTAGTTTATAGATACACATTCATGAGTCCCTAGATTTTTTTGTATGCTAATAGTCAGATTTATGACAGTAACTGTTTGTCAGTGGTTATCGTTAAAGTCCTGGACAGTTTGTTCATTCTATTTGTGACTCATTATTTGAATTTACCCATATTCTAGTGAACAACTGTCTCGACTGACTGTGATAAGAGACAGCTGAAACTAGAATCGACATTCCAAGCCATTGGTTGTTGAAGGAGATGTATTTCACGATTAGATTTATGCTATCACTTCCAGATGTTAATTTTGTCGGACAGTCTTTGTCCTCATAAAATATCCTCGACGTTATACAACCAGTCAGGTTAGTTATTTGACCGCTATAATTTCGTGTCCTTAAGGCCGACCTTTATCTACTGATATTGTTCGGTTTAGTGAAAGCAGAAGATATTTGAGGTCGAATAATCCTAATTGCATTCATTTGTGTTGCTTATCGCATTTCAGTATCGCCATACTCATTAAAACTTCACAGCTTGATGACGTGTGCTGCTAGTTTGATTTGCTGTTGAAAAGGGATAAAAATTGAATTTATGAATTATCGGATTGGTTTGTACTAGTGGGAACACTTTAATCATTATACAGTTTTTATTGCAGTGACAGCTTTAATCCATGGATATATAAGAATATCTTTCTGATGAATTGTTGTACGAACAGATAACTATGGCTTTTTGGGTGTATTTTTTAGCACTACCAGGACTTGGGTTTGATTGATACTTGTTGTTTTCGTTGATTATATCATAACTCTGTTACTGGAATAGTTTGCTTTGTTTCATTCTTCTCCTATAGTCACTTCTTTCCACGACTTTGTAATTTGGATTACTGTTAATTCCTCATTGATATTATTCTGTCTCCAATGGAACATCTAAAGTGAAAGCATGAAAACAGTATTCTCTGGGATTTCATAATGTGAAATATATATTTATATATATATATATATATATGTATATAAATATATACATAAACTGTTACTCAGATTCAGTTTATTTACACTTATAACTTTCTCCCATTTTAGTGGTTTGACACGCTTTTTTAAATATGTGTGGCTATTTTCTTCTTGATTAATTTCACTTTTGTAAATGTCAATTTAGCGAGTTCGACCAAATGCAATGTGTGGCTCTTCTCCGGTGGCGAAACCATGTGGTTCTAATTGCAATCCAGTGAAGAAAGCATGTGAAGAAATTGCTGATAAGTATTTGGAAACCCAATTGCGAGAAGAAGTTGCCGCCTTATTGGAAAGTTATCAGGAGACTGTACTTAAACTAGATCAATTCAATCCTTCAATAACACAAGAATCTTGATCATTGTCATACAGAGCATTCGTCTATCCTATTTTTTTCATATGTACTGTCATGAAACTTAATTTTAATAAAGGTATATTTCTCTAAATGTGTTTTAACTGGAAACATACATCATTTGGGCTTCAGTAGTGGGTTTTTGTGCTCAGATTACAGAGTTGTTAAGTACATATTGAGTGAAATAAGAGCTGATATGTAGTCTGTTTAAAAACTGTCACTACTGTGTCTTAATTTATGTATAAAAGTGTGACATTCCGCAAGTTAAAGTTTCTGATCCTATTTTCTATTAGTTTAAATAGCGAACATCTTTAGGGTACATGAATCTCACAGTGTGTAGTCAGTGTTACGTCTTATCTTATGTGCTATTAACATAACTACTAGTCAAGTTTGCAGTGTTCCCCTCAGTGCATGTTTCTCAATGGCGTAATGAGTTGTTTAATGTTGGATGGTTAAAGCCAAAACTCACAACTGTCCTGGTATGCGTTCCAGGCTTCCTTGTGTAGTTGTCACTCGTTTGGGAATATGATTTTAATTTCTTACCTTGTCAACAAAACAGTGACGTGTTTCATAATCTGACAGCACTTGGTTTAACCTATCGAGTGCTAGGTATATATGTAGAAGAGCCCTAAACCAGTATGAGGTAACTCGATTGTTTCTCTCTTTTTAGTGGCTCTGGTAGATTTACTTGTTCGGTACTTAATCTACACCGTGAGCAAGAAGTTGATGAGTTCTTTTACAATCAGATAATTACTACTAGGTATTAGCAGTTTAGTTGTGTTGCGAAAACTGGGATGAAGCCTATGTGGATTATATTGATGGGTTCATCCTACATCCATGAATGGAGTCATTAATGAAACCACGTGCTACTTCGAAGGAGTTCTTTGATGACTGTAACCATTCGATTAGGATTGTGATACTTCCCGGATAAATAATTGTGTGTAAATCGGACGATAACATACCTTATCGGTTTGCAGGATACATACTACCAGATACAAAGTCAATACTCTTCCGTATTAGCAACAAGCTTTCAGTCTTTTTGAATGTTGTGTCATCTTATTTAATCATAAACCGCTTGTGGAGATAATCGATGTCATATTCAATCACACTGATGAGAAAGATGTTCGTCTTACAGGTTAAAAGGCTTGTTATTAATCACAAAAGTCTATGTAATTCCAGTGCGATGTTTACAGTCTACTTTGTTAAACAGATGGACTTTCACTAGATCTACGAAACAACCGTATATCCTAGGTATAATTAATAATAAGAATGTTGAGCATAAGTGTATGGGCAATTAGGGTTGAGAGTGAAGTAGATGACTGACTAATATCTGTTTGATTTGAAATAGCTTCTAGTGAAGGAGAATAACCGTTGTAGAATGTTAAGACTAAGAGCTTTATTCTGAACACAGTGTACTGAATTCTCAGAGCATTTTATTGCTCAGTGTATACAGTCCTTCCAGGTTTCTCGAGTAAAATACTGGTGTATCGCATGACTCAATGCTGTTCGATCTTACGCAAAAACCAATTCCTGATGATACACATTTTCTTCATCGCCTTCGGGAAATGCATAACAGCAGGTTGAAGCACAATTAAAATTGTACGTGAGCACATTTTGCTACCTAGCAACATGAGTGAGTGATTAAAGTAATAAGAAATCGAGAAAGTTTGACTCATTATTGTGGACAGAAACTTAAGTAACCCAGTAATTTAAACAAACTGCCAATTATTCAACGCAACTAAGTAGTAGTTTTCGTCAGCATTCTAATAAAATTTAGAATCTTAATGATATGTAGCATAATTTCAAATATAAATTTAAACTACAGCAGTGTGTGATTCTATCCATCGCTTCTTACTGTACTACCTTAGAGCGTAGATAATATGTCCAATTAAAGCAGAAGTTAATGAAAACAAAACACGTAGTTCAGCGAAGAGTCTCTTTTCGGCGAATTCATTCACTTAACTGTACAATCGCAATTATATGTACTTATTTTGAAGGAGGTATTTGTTGAGATGGAATGACCAGATGTTCGATTATCGCACTCTTTATACAGCCACAACTGTATTGCTGAAGCCTTAGCCATTCAGTTTGAAAAGCCAGATTTATGTATAAAAAAGTAAATCATCCAAACACTTCTACATCATGGTAACAACCGTGTTGAATTCTACTGACTTGATGCTTGTGTGTTCGTTTTTTTTCCTTTCTAACTCCTTAAAATATTTGTAAGTTTTAGAACTCTTGCATAATCCTATATTTTCCTTTGTTTCTATGTGCATCCTAATCACAACTCACTCACTAAACTATTCATCTTATTAAGCGACTGTATTATGCTTGTTAAACTTATTTTATGCATTAATAAATATGTATCTCGACAACGCCTCACCACTACTCTCTTACCAATCTTCACCCCCCCCTAGTTACAATTTCATTACTCATCACATTTTTGAAATGTCTTGACAACAATAACCCTAACTTGTTTTTATTCTTGTCAGACAAGCTCGATGTACATACGCATACGAAAATAAGTATATGTGTAACGACAGAAAGCAAGGGCCAGGAAGCAGACCGTTTATTAAGGGAATCAACCCGTATTTACATATTTTCATATACATTACATAGATTATTTAAGCCAACAAGCAGTCCTGTAATTGGTTGTTTCTCACAGGTAGTCAACCTTCATCTCTTTGTGGCTGTTTCTTGAATGTCAGATCATCTATATGTTAATTGTATCCGCCTACGCAAAGCCTTTGTTCCCATTTTCTCATGACCAATACTGGGGATATAAACATTGACGTAAATTACTGTCCACCAATTTTGGCTAACAGCCAGCTCTCACCACTTATATAACTGCGATTGTACAGTTAAGTGAATGAATTCGCCGAGAAGAGACTCTTCGCTGAATTATGTGTTTTGTTTTCATTAATGTGTGAATGGGGATGAAGGAAGTTTTTAATTTTATTAATAGCTATTAATTTCAAGTATTCTGAGGATTCACGTTAATTTTGCATCTGATCAGGAGCCAGTTGGTATTTTGTTAAGCATTTCATTTGTCTATGTAACATCATTAGCTTCAGACATATGCGAAAAATTTTTAGGATGTATATAATACGATATAGTAGATAAAGGGATATAATCTCAAATCTGTCGTTTCTACTTCGATTTCACTAAGCGAACTGCACTTCAGAATGCTGGAAAACAGAATCTATCCGGAATTAATTATATAAACAATAACACGCAATCTATGGTGCTGGACATAAAACCTAAAAAATATTGCAGTTTCATTGAAAGTAGGTGCTAAAATGAACAACGAAATCATCCTTTCACATGACAGGAGTATCACGGCGATAGTAGTTATGTGGCGGATCTTAGACTTTGCTAGCCTAAGTTCGAATAGAAATAAAAAATACAAAATCCGTAAAGTTACTGGAAGAATATATTAAAATTTGTTACTTGGGTTATTAAAAGGCCCAAATCCACCATTAACTTAGTAGACTCCATAAGTATTGTGCGAAGACTGCTCCAATATCAATATTGCCAGAGGTCGGCCTAGGTAACGTAGGGAGAAAATACGGCGTCCCTGCGAAATTTTGAAATAGGCAACAGTAAAGAGTAGACACCCACTTCAGATGATCTTGAAACAGCCGATCAAATTCTTCTAGTTGAAAAGTGGTACTTAATTTACAAAGAAGTGTATCTACGATATATCTAATAAAAATGAATCATATAGGGTATATATCTCTAATATGCTGCAAAAACTGGTTCCAGATTCTCATAGAAGTGTTTATAGACATATCAAACCAATGTATTCTATATTTCTCCAGCTGTAACAGATACTGGTTACATATATGCAATATATCACTATGGGAGAGCTTTGATTTCGAGAAGGAAGTGTCTAGAAAAATCAAGGTGAAACCAAAAGCCTCGAGGATAGCTGGGTATAGGCCACAATGCAAGTTCAACACTCAATTACTGAAGGACACAACCACAAATACACCTTCACTGCAACTGTCAGAGCAAAGCAGGAAACAGTATGCGACATCACTTAAGTATCATGCGTGGAAGAACATTGGAAGTCTCTGAAGGCGATTCTGAACGAAACGTGTTCAACGGTTCCAGGAAGAAAGAAGAGACAAGACAAGGAATGGCTCTCAACGGACACTTGGAAATTAATAGAAGAGAGGAGAATGGTAAAGGAGAAAATGATTCAATCCAAGGACGGACAAGAGAAAGAGACACTGAGCTCAACTTACACAGCACTGGAAAAAGAAGTGAAGAAGAGTGCAAGGAAGGAAGAAAGACAATTCTACGACAATCTGGCCACTGAAGCTGAGAAGGCAGCAGGCAAAAGGGACCTGAGGACATTATATCAGATAACCAAGTCTCTATCCGGGAAGAGATCAACACAAGTGTAACCTAAAAATGACAGCCAAGGGAACCCAATTACCAAGGGAGAAAAAAAGATTAAACAATGGGCGGATCACTTCAAAGGACTCTTGAACCGACCACCACCTGCAACCCGTTCAGAAACACCAACAACAGCGCGCACCCAACTGTAAGTTGACACCAATCCTCCAACGAAAGCTGAAGTCTTGAACGCAATCAAACTTCTGAAAGCTGGAAAAACAGCCGGACCTGATGGAATACCCCCTGAAGCACTGAAAGCGGACCCAGAGACTACAGGGGACATGCTGACTCCATTATTGCAAAAGGTCTGGAAGGAGGGAAAGGCGCCTACTGACTGGAGGAAAGGTCATCTCGTCGAACTACCAAAGAAGGGCGACTTACGCCTCACTCTGCAAGAACTGGTGAGGAATCATGCTCCTGTCGACGCCAGGTAAAATCCTGAGTCGCATCATCCTGGAGAGAATGAAGGACGCATTGGATGCAGAACTCCGACCAGAACAGGCTGGATTCAGGAAAGTCAAGCAAATCATGTTCTGACCGAATTTCAACTCTACGCATCATCATCACAGAACAAAGCATGGAATGGCAACCTCCCTGGCGGT